CTAAAGAAATCAAACCATCAAACATGAGTAAATTGATTGGTGAATGATCTCCCACAAAATTGAAAAGGACAATTTCAGTTATAAAAGGAAGGTATTGTGCTTTGCTTTATTTGATTTATGTAATTCCTTCCTCTGTTGAGATAGTTCAATATTTATTCTAGTTTACTTGATATGTAAGCTATGTTCTATCTACTGAGTTGTTACTGTGTGATATAGAATTTCTGATTAGAGGAGGATTAGGCATAGATATCAGTAAAGCCTGAATTCAGGACTGAAGGATATTATGCCTAGAAACTGACCTTGACTTCACCTACTCAAACAGAAAATTCTTGCCAGAAAGTTATAAGCTTATTTCTCACCTTACTGACAGCAGGCAGACACAATTTTGGAGTCTTGGGGAAGTTGGGGCAGTTGTGTGAAACATTTGGGATGGGAGCAAGCAGAGGAATATAAACACCATATGAGAATGGCAAAGTGGGCTCTTGCCTTTGGAGAAATCCTCCATTCCTCTGTCACTCTATGCAGGTGCTAACATTTAAAGCTCTATTATCCTGCAGCTCCTTCTCAGGATCTTTTCTGTTTTATTTAATCATCACTATAATTTCCATATTATTTGTTATTAATACAACTTTAAATGTCCCAGTTGTATTAAACTGTCTTATTATTCAAGGAGTATTCCTCTTCTGTTGTGCTACACATTCACTCTCTATTTTAAACTATTTAGTTCCATATGTATTCCTTGCTATTTTATATCACCATGCCATTATTCACACAACACCCCATTTCTTCTACTTATCACTAGGATATAGTTTCATCTTTGAGATACCACCATTGCCATGGACTCCTTGAGAAATACAGGAGGGGACAAAGAATAGCAATGTACTTGTGTCACCCTTCCCCACCCCCAGCAAATGAAGCTAGCAGCAACAAAAGTGATCTCTTCCTTATGCTTGAGGAGAGGAGAGAGGAGAGTAAGGAAGACTTCGCCTTACACTTTAGATACCAGTTGCGCCACAGTAGCATAGGGCAACAGGCACAGTTAATGAGGTCCCCATTCCAGGTCCTAGCTCACAGATAATATTTCTAGACACACTCTGGTCTGGAAGAGAACCCACTGCCTTGAAGGAAGGACCCAGTCCTGGCAGGATTCATCACCTGCTGACTAAAGGCCCTTGGGCTCTGAATAACCAATTGGGATACCCAGTAGGCTGTAGGTATTGGGTTCTGAGACATGCTGGCTTCAGGTGTGACCCAGCATATTCCCAGCTGTGGTGGCTATAGGGAGAGACTCCTGCTTGAGAAAAGTCCCCTTTACTTTTCCTGTACCTTAGCTACAACCTTGGTCACAGTAGGATATAGCACTGACCCCATGTGATCTTATGGGATCCCTGAGTCCAGCCATAGGCTTTTAGACAGCATTTCTGGACCTGGCCTGGGCTAGAGGGTGTCCACTGCCCTGAGAGGTGAGTCCCTCAGGGACTGGCAGCATTCACCACAAGCTGACTGAAGAGCCCTTGGGCTTTAAGTGAACATCAGCAGTGGCCTGTCAGAATCCCAGGTGGGCTGGTGGTGGAGGCAGCCACTCATCTGCCTGTGGAAAGGAGAAGAGCAGGAAGGACTCTGTCTTGTGATTTGAGTGCCAATGTAGTCACGGAAGAATAGAATATCAGATGAATTTTTAATGCTTTTGATCCCAACCACTAGATCCCATATAGCATTTCTGAACTTGTCCAGGCTCTGGGTGAAATCATTGCCCCAAAAGGAAGAACACGAACCTGGTTGGTTTTACATCTTGTTAATCATAGAGTCCCGTTGCCTTGAGTAAACATATCTCAAAGAAATTCAAGATAACACAGAGAAGGAATTCAGAATTTCATCAGATAAATTTATGAAACAGATTGAGATTATTTAAAAGAATCAAGCAAAAGTTCTGGAGCTGAAAAATACAATTGACATACAGAAGAATGCATCAGAGTCTTTTACTAGCAGAACTGATCATACAGAAGAAAGAATTAGTGGGCTTGAAGACAGGCTATCTGAAAATATACACTTAGAGGAGACAAAAGAAAAAAGCATGTCCATAAGATCTGAAAATAGCTTCAAAAGGCAAATCTAAGCATTATTGGCCTTAAGGAAGAGGTAGAGAAAGAGATAACGGTAGAAAGTTTATTCAAAGGAATAATATTAGAAAAATACCCAAACCTAGAAAAAGATATCAATATTCAGGAACAAGAGGTTTATAGAACACTAAGAAGATAAAATTCAAATAAAATTACCTCAAGGCATTTAATAATCAAACTCCCAAAAGTGAAAGTTAAAGAAAGGATCCTACAAGCAACAAGAGAAAAGAAACAAACAATATGCAACAGGGCTTCGATACATCTGGCAGCAAACTTTTCAGCAGAAACTTTATAGGCCAGGAGAGAACAGCATGACGTATCTAACGTGCTGAAGGAAAAAACCTTCTACTCTGGAATAATATACCCAGTGAAAACATCCTTCAAAAAAAAGGGGAGAAATAATGACTTTCTTAGACATACAAACGCTGAGAGATTGTATCAACACCAGACCTGTCCTACAAGAAATGCTAAAGTGAATACTTCAATATGAAGAGGACTTTAGTGAGCAATAACAAATCATGTGAAGGTACAGAACTCACTGGTAATAGCACACAGAAAAACACAGAATATAATAACATTGTAATTATGGTGTGTAAACTACTCTTAAGTAGAAAGATTAAATGATGAACCAATCAAAAATAATTACAACAACTTTTCAAGACATTGACCACACAATAAGACATACAAAGAAACAACAAAAAGTTAAAAAGTGGAGGGAGGAAGTTAAAGTGTAGAATTTTTATTAGTTTTCTTTTTGCTTGTTTATGCAATCCATGTTAAGTTGTTATCAGTTTAAAATAATTGGTTATAAAACAGTATTTGCAATCCTCATAGTAACCTCAAATGAAAAAAGCATGCAATGGATACACAAACAAAAAGCAAGAAATTAAATCATACCACCAGAAAAAAATCATCTTCATTAAAATTTAGACAGAGAGGAAGAACAAAAGAGGAGGAGACAACAAAACAACCAGAAAGCAAATAATAAAATGGCAGGAGTAAGTACTTACTTATCAATAATAACATTGAATGTAAATGAACTAAACTCTCTAATTAAAAGATACAGAGCAGCTGAATGGATAAAAAAAGCAAGACCCAGTGATCTGTTGCCTACCAGAAGCACACTTCATCTACAAAGGTACACATAAGTGATGGAACCAGAAAACGCCAAGTGTATCTTGTATCTGATACTTATATCAAACAAAATAGATTTCAAGCCTAAGCTGTAAGGAGAGACAAAGAAGGTCATTATATAATGACAAAGGAGTCAATTTAGCAAGAGGATACAATAATTGTCAATATATATGCACCCAATGCTGGAGCACCCATATATATAAAGCAAATATTATTACAGTTACAGAGAGAGAGAGACTGCAATACAGTAACAGCTGGAAACTTCAACACCCCTCTTTCAGCATTGGACAGATCATCCAGACAGAAAATCAACAAAGAAACATTGGCCTTAATTTGCACTACAGGACAAATGAACCTAATCAATATTCACAGAACATTTCATCCAATAGCTGTAGAATACACATTCTTTTCCTGAAAACATCGATCATTCTTAAGGATAAATCATATATTAGGTCACAAAACAATTCTTACTGCATTAAAAACAGTTGAATAATATCAAGCATCTTCTCTGACCACAATGGAATAAAACTAGAAATTAATAAGAGAAATTTTGGAAACTATACAAATATATGGAAGTTAATCAATATGTACCTGAATTGACCAGTGGATCAATGAAGAAATTAAGAAAATTGTTGGTGGCATGTGCCTGTAATCCAGCTACTTGGGAGGCTGAGGTAGGAGGGTCACCTGAGTTTGAGAGGTTAAGGCTGCAGTGATCCGAGATTGTGCCACTACACTCCAGCTAGGGTGACAGAGTGAGACACTGTTGAAAGAATGTTTCAGAGAGGCTCTCTCTTTTTTTTTTTTTTCCTTTTCAAAAAGATTTTATTTTTCCTGAAATTTCAGAAATAAATTTATGGCAAGGAACTGATAAGCAGGGTTTTTGCCCATCCTGCATGAATCTATTTTCACAGTTTTCAAACCTCTTCTCAGCTTCCTTACCCTTGAAACTATTATTATGTAGCTTAACTCTTTTCCAAGTATATAAACCTTGGGTCTTTATCTAGCTTCTAAACTCACTGAAGAACAGGGAGTTTATTACATTATACATGTATACATTATGGCCATGTTTTTAAACTTGAGATATAACATGAAAAAGGCAAAGGAGTTTAAGAATTTTGACTTCACTGGGTCCCCACAACACCTGCTGCTTGCTTACATATAGTGAACATGCAAATCTCTTTTGCTGGAAAGCCAATCAGCTCCTGCAACTGCTTTACCCTTAGTTCACAGACTAATCAAAGTGAGTACACTCTGACAGTACACTAATCAGTGCTGTACACTAAACATGGTTCTGAAAAAAAGAAGTCATAATAAATTCTCTCTCCAACTCTGTGTATATTATGAAATACTGGGTCACATAATGAAATTTAATACACCCCATGTGCTATTTAAGACCTTTTCAATTATATGGTTTCAAAACTAAGTATTTCTCAACATGAATCTTCCACTCCACCCAGGTTGGTCCATGTTTCCACAGTATGTTCTTTCCTAACAAGCACTTCTCACACAAAGCCCATGGAACTTAGAGCATTCTCCTGACTTTTTTTTTTTTTTTTTTTTTAAGAGAAAAGTTCTTATTATGTTGCCCAACCTGGTCTCCAACCCCTGTACTAAAGCTATCTTCCCACCTCAGCCTCCTGAGTAGCCTGGGACTATAGACAAGCACCATCACACCCAGCTTCTCGAAACTTTTTGAGTTTAACAAATATTATGTTCCTGTTATAGGCCTGTTTCCGATGGTACTTACACATTGGTCTTAAATTCATGCAGCTGGGGCGCTGGGTTTTCGGCTCGCATTTCTAGCACTTCCATGTAATGAGGTTTCTTCTGAGTCCCATTAGAAAGGCCTGTCAAGTTCGTAGCACTTATGTTTTCTTCTGACTGTTGTTCACCTTCGTCTGCAATGGCACTCCTCTGTAACCTGTCAATCAACAGGTTGTCAAAGCTGCTGGAAGTATCTTCTGCTTGACTTGAAACACGATGCTGCGGCTGATGCTCACTAGCTTCAGATGAAGGCGGCACTCTGTCTCTGTTGCTGGAAGCTGGGCCCTTACTCACTGTGTACTCAGCCTCTGGAGTTTCTTCATCACCTTCATGAGTAGGATGTCCAAGTCCCTGGTTTTGTGAGGTTGTTTCAGATGACTCGATGTTGTCTACAGAGGAACAGCCAGGAGCTAGTGATGAAGTGTCAAGTATCTGGTCAGAATTCTGGGCCTTATCTGTATCGACATCAACTTCCGCAGTTGCTTTTTGCCTTAGCTTACAGTCTAAACTAACAGGATGAAACAGTTCACTTTTTCTTCTAACTTCTTCACGTTCTGCAATGGCAGCTTTCAGTTTGGCAACAGAGTCAAAAATCTTTTTACCTTTGTCGGGCAATTTGCGAGTGAATTTTACCTTGCGCAAAAGTCTCTCCTGGCGCTTCAACATTTCCCGCAGCTCCACCAAACTGCGCTGCCCCAAGTCCTCGGGTGCTTGGGGCTCGAAGCCGCGGGGCAGGGAGGACATTCTGCGCAGGCTGAGGCTGGCGTGGCCGCGGGCACTCGGCTTCCTCAACAGGCCCCGCAGCTAGCGCCGGATCCGCGGCCGCAGGTGACTCTGGGGAACGAGCGGGAGTCGCCATTTTCCCGGAAGCGGGGCTCTCTTATCATGAGAATGTTTCAGAGGGGCTCTCGTCTATTTAGGTGCAGCATCCTTTTGTCCAGTAGAGAACAGAAGGTCAGGTTTGAGTACAGGTTTATGGTACCTTTGAGTAGGAAAGAAAATGGAGTAGATCCAGTTTCCATGATTGGCATTATCCACACACAACGAGTGAGCAGAAAGCTGAACATTGAGAAGCGATTGTGCCATTGTATTTCTAAATTTTGAAAGGTAGGGGAAGTTGAGTGAGAAGTGTGGAAGAACACTGCAAGCTAGAGAGGCACCACCACACGGTGGACTTGGACTCAAGAGAGCTTTCAGTCTCAGGGGAGAGAGTGAAACAGAATTGGTATAGTGGAAAGCTAAAAGCAAGAACATTCTCAATTTTGTCTAGAGGTTTATTATCTTGCCACCTTGTGATTTAAGTCATTGATTAAATTACCACCATCTTTTTCTCTGGTGTTACAAAGGCTTGAGAGCATCTTGTCCTTAACTAATGCATATATTTTCCAGACATCTTTATTCTCATGTTGGCACTGAGCATAAAATGTTACTTAATGGGACTTTGTCTTCCAAATATTTCAATGCTTTTTCTGAATTTTCTGGCACCTGACATTTTATCAAATAGTGTGGAGGAAATATCTTTGCCTGTCAGTATAGCAAGCCAGGTGTCATATGTTCATATTTCTTTCAGGTAACTATACCCAAGAGAACAACACACTTGGCATTTGGGCAGTAGGGGCTGTAGGATCTGCACTGATTTGCAATAAGTACTGGGAACATTATCCTGGTGGAGATGCACTTGCTTCTGCTCCCTACTCTCATCCCTAAAAAGACAGTCAGTAGAAACCCAGTGGTTTTTGCTTCTTAGGGAATATGTGCCTTTAGACTGATCCATTTGATTAACTGCTAAAAAATAGGGGTCCACAGTAATGACATATGCAGCACTTTGTGGTGTGAAAGAGGTGTCTCAGTCATCCTTCAAGAGACACCAAAAAATCAGTCATATTTTTATAAATAGCACGTGAGTTACAGAGCTAATGTTTCATTTAATCTATAACCTAAAAATTGGTTGGTGCCTTATAGGCTCCTGACCTGTATTAGCTGTATCCCTGTCTGAGGCTTTATACTCTGAAGTGTTGTCCCTGTTTCAGCAGTCATTGCAAAGCAAAGGACACATGTTGCTCTCAGGAAGTACTTCCATGATGACAGCAGGTGATGAATGCCTTTTCTATAGGGATGACTAATATGGCTTTAGTTGGGGACCCTTGTTTATGAGGCACAAATAATGCAAAACATTCTAGGACACCTGATACACTGAACTCCCACGTAAGTAAAATGACAAAATGGGTCCTATGATCTGGGAATTTGCCCAGGATTTAAAAAATAAATCAGAGAATTAGACTTTCTAATTCATCTTTTTTAATGTGCCTGTCTAGAGTCACATTATATGAGAGCTTAGCATATGCAGATTTTATGTCTCAATTTACCATATTATTATAAAAACAAGACTTCTACTTGCTGCAGAAACTTTCTCAACTTCTAATGAAAATAAGAAAAGGGAAGAGAGAATAGAAGTATGGTGTAGGCCTCACATAAATAGAAGGAACATGGAAAACCCATCAACTAGAACTGCTGAGGCACTCTAGATAGGGTAAGCCCAGAATTCTTTCTCTATAGCCAACTACTTCTCTCACTTTCCCCAGAAACTGAAGAATAATATGGATCTATGGATTCCATAACACTTTTAAAAACATAGCTCAGAATGTTTTTTTCTTTTCTTTTTATTTATTTAGTTTTTGAGACAGAGTTTCACTTTTGTTGCTCCAGGCTGGAGTGCAATGGTGCCATCTTGGCTCAATGCAACCTCTGTCTCCCAGGTTCAAGTGATTCTCCTGCCTCAGCCTCCCAACTAGCTGGGATTACAGGTGTCCGCCACCACATCTAGCTAATTTTTGTGTTTGTAGTAGAGATGGGGTTTCACCATGTTAGCCAGGCTGGTCTTGAACTCCTCACTTCAGGTGATCCACCTGCCTTGGCCTCCCAAAGTGCTGGGATTACAGGCATGAGTCATCTGCATCCAGCCATAATCTGATTCCTTTTTTATTTTAAATCATTTCTAATCTATAAGCATTTAGATAACCTAACACACCATACTAAGTTATGTTATTTCTTTTGTTTTAGTGACAAAGAAGGAAGGCTGCCCAGATATGCAATAGATGTGACTCCACTATTTATCTAGTGAAATGTTCAGTTTGATATTTTGGATATTTAAAGAAACAACAAAGTTTTCTGTGTAAAAGAGTTTCTATGATAAATAAGGATAGAGTTTATCATAAGAGACAGCTGTATCTGTTTCTATTTCAAGATTATTCTAAGAAGGGAAAAAGAAAAAAAGGAACCGGTAATCTCTACCTATATATATGGCTGAAGTTCTTGTCTAATTGTCAGAGAAAGGCAAGGCTTTAAAAAGGGACTGAAGGGAGCAGAGACATGCCGCCTCCTTCTCTGAGCATGGTGTGCTCTTTCTTCATGGCAGGGAGGGGCTCCACATCTCCATAGTGGCCAGGGGTTTCTTCTTGCTGATCTTTAGCTAGAGAGCACTGAAATGGTCTCACATCTGTGAGGTGCTTTGAACAGTGGCCAACACTCTACTATGCCCAGCACAAAATACAGGGCTTGGAACATCATATAATTAGTACATATTTGTTAAATTAATCCTTCAGAAAATGCTGGGTTTGTGTCTCACAGATGTTCAAAATATCTGAGTCCTGGGTTGCAGATGTATAATCACGGAAATGAGCTAAGAAGTGGAATGGGTCAGATTTGTAACTGTTCACATATTGAGCTTGTAAAGAAAAAGAGAAAGGGGTAAATTAGGAGTTTAGAATCTCTCTGGGTTGGGAACTATAGCTCTATCTTGGAATAAGATAACAGAGATGCATATAACTGTGAAAGCAAAATAAATCTCACAACCCCTGAATCACTAAGCCAAAAAGAAAAGTCAAACTGGGAACTGTGTTGGACAAACCTGCCTCCCATTCTATTCCTAAATAAGATAGCTACAAAACAAACAAACAACAAACAAACAAAGCTACATACCTCCCTCACCATTTGCCCACAAGAAAATTTCTGTGTACAAAGGACAGACAGAACTCAAAGTCACAGACAGAACTCAAATTCATCCCTCTGCTTTTGTGAGACAAATGCATATCTGAATGTTTCCTTTGCCCTATTGTTTTGCTTAGTCAGACTAAGGCATTCCTAACGATTCCTGTAAACTGTGTATTCAGTGAAAGGCTAATCAGAAACTCAAACGAATGCAACTGTATGACTTGGAAGTTCCTTTCTGCTTTAAGTTGTTCTGTCTTTCTGGATCAAATCAATGCACATTTTAAATATACTGATTAATGTCTCATGTCTCCCTAAAATGTATAAAACCAAGCTGTGCCTCAATCACCTTGGGCACATGTCCTCAGGACCTCCTGAGGCTGTGTCACAGGCGTGTCTTTAACCTTGGCAAAATAAACTTTCTAATTTCCTGAGGCCTGTCTCAGATATTTTGGGTTCACATAACTAAGAAAATCTCTGAAACAGTAGTTAGACTATGTTGTAAAGAATAGAACTCTAACTCCCTTTGACTAGACAGGTTAACAGTCTAGTTGAGAGATGTAAAAAGGAAGTAGAACAGTAGCTTCAAGATATGTACTGGGGCTCATAAGGTGATACTCTAAAGACTGGTGCTTTGACATGCTGAGAGGTCTTAGAAGCTGCCTCAGGATAAAGGTAACTTTAACCTTGTCTTGTTATCCTACTTCCCCCAAACTCTTGAGGTGCAGGGAGGGACACTCTCTATAGTTTCCTTATCTGACCAAGAGAGCTTCTTTCCAAAAGAAATGTAAGTAGAGATTGGGAGCCATCTCTACCCAGACAGACTTTTTATTTTTTCTGAGGGTAGCTACAACAGATTACTTGGAAAACTTTATCTGCATAATAAGACAACCTTTGATCCTGTGCAGATGCACCCCTCACTGTCCCATTGGTACAAGAGCTAGAAAGAAATTATTTAGGCAGATAGTGAAGGTAAAGAAGTACTTAGCAAGACTTTTTTTTTAAACTAAAAGCAGCCCCTAAATCATTTCTTTTCTAATGAAGAGCAGCCAGAAAAACTGAGCCGCAGATATAGATAAGCAAGCTGGAAGCTTGCACAGGCAAATGTGAGCAGCTGTGCAAATAGAGGAGGGCTACCTGAGAGCCAGGCTTGTTCAACATGGAGGCTCCATCTTCCCTTTACTTTGTCACTATGTGTATGGTAAAGGAAAAGGAAACATGGCATTGACCAAGTAGAGAACCCATCTGCATAATAAAAGATTAGGATGGGGTGGCTAGCTTCTTAGCATGCTATGCAAATGACACATGTGGTCCAACCAATCTTTCATGGCCTATGTAAATCAGACACCACCTCCTAAAGCTCATCTATAAAACCTTCTGCATTTCATTGCAGAAGTGGCAACCCATTTTCTCTGGGATCCCTCCCTGCACAGAGATCTTCTCTTTCTTTTACCTATTAAACTCCTGCTCTTAAACTCTGGTGTGTCCATGTCCTATTTTTCCATGGCTGTGAGACAACCAATCTCAGGTATTTACCCCAGACAACAAAACCACTTCACCATAATATTTGCTTTCTACCTCCTGAGTCCATTTATTCTGCCTCATGATTTACTGCCCCTCAAATAATTGTCTACATTCCCCATATCCCTGTTTCCATTTTAAAAAGGGCATATAAGCTTCTGTACCACACTGGGTTATTGAATTATCATTTTTCTGAAACTTGCCTGTGCTATGCATGCTAAAATAAAATGTGTATACCTTTTCTCCTATTGATCTACCTTTTGTCAGTTGATTTTCAGTGAAACTTCAGGGGGAAAAGAGGTCATTTTCCTTTGGTCCTTACATATATACATATAGTAATGTATA